GCGAAGTGGACTGGGATGCCGCGGGCCGAGATGCGGCGGGAGAGGTGGAGGAGCTGGTTGAGGTGGCCCTGCAACGGGAGCGGGACCACGATCACGGCCAACCGGACTTTGGCGGGCCGACAGGTTTCTCCGGCGAGGGTTTCGGTGGTGGTGGTGGTGGCCATTTTTTATTTTTTTTGGAAATTGGTTTAGTTGGTTGAGTGGTCAAAATCAAGTTTTTGGGGTTGAGTTTGTATTGAGGTATTTGCTGGGATTTTATAGAATTGTGAATTTCAGTATTAGTTGATGGAAAAAAAAAAAAAACTTTTTAATTAAGGATTTATTAGTTTGAACTTACTTAAAGGGCTTTCAAGATAGAATTATGATTTTTAAATTTACAAACTTATTAGAAAATATAATATATAATATGAAATAAAATATACCATAAATAGTTATACTATTTATATAATTAATTACATTAATGATGTGATTTTATTATTAATAGAATTCAAACTTTGAACGAGAGACTTAGAACACTTTTGATTAACTTTAAATTTATAATACCATATTGAAAATGATGTTTAGTAAAATAATCCAACCACATCCAAAATCAATTCATATCAATGAATGCACTTTAATTTGACTTGAATTTGTTACCACATTGGACCAAATTTAATGGAACCCAAATAAACACTTTTTAAATAAAAGCCAACTTAAATGGGTTACTTTTGAAAAGCTTATGTAAGCTGGGACATCATCATCTATATTATTTTATTTGGAAATGTTAATGTCCCGTTGAGTGAACCATTTTAAAATTTGAAACCGTTAGATCCTCGTATAACCGTTAGAAATAATTAATTTAATGGTTACAAAATGCAGACAGAATGATTTCGTAACTGGACTTATTTTATTTTTGATTATTTTTTCTATTTCAGTTATTGTTTTTTAAAATTGAATTAAAACTTCAAAGATTTTCAGTATCAAATATCTTTGAATTCAAACCAAACTTTTTATAGTTTTCAGAATAAAATATATTTTCTATTTAACGTATGATTATTGTTCTCAATTTATTTAACGTTTGAATAAGGTTCTCAATTTAATTGTGCGGTCCGACAAAGGCCAAACGCACGATTTTTTTTTTTTTGGTACAGATAAAAAGGAGGCAAGGCCTAAAGGAAATCAAACTACTACGTTCCGTATGTGGAAAACACCAAGGATATCGTGTTCCAGCCACGGTTTAACTTTTCCCGGAGGAGCCTGTAGCACATGAAGCCCACCGGGACTACGTGTAGCCAGTAAAGAAAGCGAGTCCGCTGCAAAATTTGATTCACGCCAAACATGAAGAAGGCGGACCTCCCAGTCTCTTTCTAGAAGTCCTCGAACCCCCCGAACCAAGCTACCATTGACTCCCATACCTCCATGGTGTTCTTTCATCATTCGAACCACACACTGGCTATCAACTGATGTGACCACTTTCCGAATACCCATATCCCAAACTAGAGACAACGCTTGGAATAATCCCCATAATTCAGCACCAGTTATCATCGCGAAACCGTTGAACAACGAAGCCCCCTAGCCAATGGCCGAGGCAGTCCCTTACCAGGCCGCCTGCTGACGCTAAGTCGGTCTCCCTATTAAAAGAGCCGTCTGAATTGATCTTTACCCATTCCTCCGGCGGAGGGATCCAACGCACCAGGAACAAGCCTAATTGTCACCTAAGTGAGTAATTAGCATGTACGTATGCAAATAAATCTAAATATAAGGTCAATTATAACAAATATAATTTCAACTGAAAACAAATATATTGGGCCGGCTAAATTTAATGTTTATTTCATGGCCCAGTTAATTGACTGTGCTGTTTCGACCACGGGGCCCAATACTTAACCTGTTTCCAATCTACAAAGGCTGCTTTCATTTGTTCAGGCTGGACTATAAATTTAAGTCTAACCGTTTCCAGCTTAAATGGGCTCAAAGCCCAACCCAAATTCTCGACCTGGCCCATAAATCTGCGTAGAAGCCCTCCGCCGCCCGACACGTGATGAAAATCTCGCCCGAGTTGAATTGAATTTTCAGGCCTTTTCCTACAAAAGATCAATCGTCTCCGAAATTACGGGGGGAAAAGTCCGCCATCACAAAGGAGCCGAGTTTCTCCGCCAGCTCAAATACCGGCCGCCGGAGCCGTCGAGGTCGGGATCGGGGATTTCGAGATCTGGTGGAATGGGGAAATTGTGGAAATGGATGTTCGGAGCGGAGGTCGGGTCAAAGCCGTGGTCCCGGGCCAGGGCCTGGCGGTTGTGGACGGCGGCGATGCGGCAGCTGAGGTCAGGGGCGGACGCAACCTCGGAAGATCGAGGGGGCACAAACGTAATCTTTACAAAGTTGAAAAGAAATGAAATTTATTCTCTTCATGTTCTTATATATTATATTACTCATAATTACATAAATTCCATTTTTTTTATAAAGAAAACTTTCCAAATACCAATATTTTTATTTTATTTTGCATTGGATATTCTTAGGCGTTAGCATTGTGGACTTCTTTATAATAAATATAAAAATTTTATTGGTTAAAAAATCAATGACAAACACAATTTAGTAGCTAATTGTAAACTTATAATTATAATTTTAAGAACACCTAAAATTCAATGTGCATCAAAATCAATGTTGAATTTTATGGAAAATCGATGCTACCCATTTATATATGTTGCCTACAATATAAACAAATACAAAATATAAACAACTTAAATTTTAAGAAAATATATCTATAATTAATTTACAATATAATTATATGTACTAATTTTTTTTAAAAATTGCACAGGGGCCCGTGCCCCTACGGGCCCCTGCCTAGTTCCGCCATTGGCTGAGGTGGCCCAGGGCGGAGAGTCGGATTATGAGCGCGGCGGCCAATGGGATTTTATTCGCTTAATTGGTTATTTAGTTATTGTTTGGTGAACAATAAACAATTTTTTTTGCATTGTTTATTTAATTTTTTCGGTTTTTTGGTTTTATTTTTTATGATGTAATATAGTCTACATTGCCACACTTTGTGTATGGTCTTGATCTTGTTCATGCCACGTAAGTGGTGAATATATTAACATGTGTCTATCGTGAGTAAAGGAGCATTAATGTGGTCTTGATATGTCACCGAATCACGTAGTTCCGATCGACGGCCTAATTGCTAGGTAGGTCAATTGGCTGGATTTTTTTTTTTTTTTGTTATTTTAAAAGTAGATATAATATGCTTATATATTAGAAAGATATAAAAGTCTGATAATAAGACCTTAATTTTAAATAATCAAATGAGAAATTATGAAACTTAATCAATCACCATGTTACTCATGCAATCAAACTTCAACCATAAAGAAAATAACAAAAAGTCGCATTAACTAAAAAAAAAAACAAAACAATTTGTTCTTGCACTTCTTGAAAAAAGAAACAAAATTCAAATATTATTTTACTTATTTTTATTTACAATTGAGATATTAAAAAAGATATTATTTACACTTAGAAAACAATCAATTTCATCGCGAAATTCAATTATTAACTTAACCACAACCATATATTATGATCTTCTAATGTGACTAATAAACGCGTCCATTTCCTTACGACTGGTGCCACCTTCCATGACCGATCTTCTCACAATCTTACCTAATTCGGCCGCATTTTTCCTTATATCGGACGAACTCATCAGTTCCCTAACGGCCATTTCTATCGTTCTCGAGGAGACCAGCTCGTCTTCTCGAGTCCACTTTTTTATCTCGATTCCAACGTTCAAAACTTTAGTGATCAAGGCAGCATTAGCCGGCTGGTCCGAGTGTTGGGCCCACGTCGCCATCGGCACTCCCATCGAGATGCTCTCGAGGCAAGAGTTCCATCCGCAGTGGCTCACGAACCCTCCTGATTATAAAAATAATAATACATGTAAGCACATTAATTGAATAATGATTATGCTCCCCCATTAATAATAAATAGTACAAAAGGACATTAATAAAATAATGGGTTTTGTCCCCTAAAGTGTAGGGAATATCCCTCGAGTTCAGTTATTTTTATTTTATTTTTTTTAATATGGATTTCTATTTAGTGGAGTTTAACTTATGGGAGAAAAAAAAAAAATAAGTGTGAGAAACTGTAGACGAATCGAACCGAATCGAACTTTAACTACTGGCATTGAGTCTAGGTTCAAGCATATATATTTTAAATTGTTAAGCTAGACTTGTCGATCAATCGATCTAATAAGTGAGTTTGAATGCGGCTAGTTTATCAAAATTAATGGATCGAGCTAAGATAATAGTTTAGCAAATCATGTAAAAACAATATTTCTCAAACCCAACGAGCTTTAATAAGTTGGTTATATACGGCCTCTATCTCAATTCATTTATCATGTAAGTCGAACCAACTTAAGCATTATATAGCCAAATCTATGCCCGATTCGTTTAACAACTCTACATGTGCGTGCGTTAGCACTAAATGCCAACAATTGGCATAACTAGGAATCATTATCGCACTAAAAACCCAAAATATTTTTTAAAAATACCAAAACCATCTCAAGAGTTGATTGTCTACCACACATCCATTTAATGCCTTTATTGCAAAAAATTGTTTAACTAATCTTAAAAATACAAAACAGTTAACTTGATTATACTTTACGATATCATCCCGTCGGGTGATTTAATCGTTTGATCCAATATAAAAAAAAAAAAATCGTGTTAAAAAAAAAAGTTACCTGTAGACGGATGTGCAAGAATCTGGAGCTGAGGCGCCCAATCCCTTACCAAAATCCCCCTATCCCTCACCCTCTCCTCAAACCCCTCCTCCCACCCATTCTTCCTCCTCCCAAAGCTGCCACCCTCCGCCGCCGGGGCGGCAAAAATGTCGGCCCTGTCGGCTTCCCTAACCACCCACACAAAACTCTGCCCGCTCCTCTCGAGCCCCTTCGCCACCTCCCCCACCTGCTCCTCCGTGAACGAGCACGTCGTCCCGAACGACACCAACACCACCGTCCCCGCCGCCTGCCGGTCGAGCCAATCTAAGCACCGGTGCCGTGGGCCCGACCCGAATTCCCCACCCACCGGGTTGAACGGGCCCGCCGCGAAAAATCGTTTCCCCTCCCTCCTCATCCGCCCCTCGAGCGGGTCGAGTGCGAACCCCTCAATCTCCCGGCACGAGTTGTATATCTCTCCGGAGAACGCTGTTCGGGCCGCGGTCTGCAGGGCGAGGAACTGNGCGAAGGAGGGCGGGTAGTAGCCGTCGAGGGAGGGGACGCCGTCGATGACATGGCGGCGGAGGGGGAGCTGTGGTAAGATGTCGGGCTCCCACGAGGCGACGGAGAAGGCTGATATGGATCGGAAAATGAAGAGCTCGACATTGGGGAGTGCGGCGAGGTCCTGGACTGCGTGGGACATGAGGGAGTCGTAGACGACAGCGACGCGACGGAGGGTGGCGGCGGA